CAAGCAATACCAGCGAGTCTTGAAGAAGATCGACGAGCAGAAGGCCAATATCGAGAAGCTCCAGGAGCAGATTGAGACTGTGGAGAACAGCCTTCGCGAAACCGACTGCCCTAGGATCAGATGCCTTGGACTGGATCGCTTCTGCAATCGCTACTGGTGGTTTGAGCGTAATGCGATGCCCTACGAGGGTATGCCAGAGAGCTCAACGGCCGAGGCACACTACGCCAATGGCCGTCTGTGGGTGCAAGGCCCGGATGAAATGGAGCACGCCGGTTTCATCGACGTGACCGATGAACAGCGGAAGCAGTACCAGAAACATTTTCAAACCACCCCTGCAGAGCGCAAGAAGCACGAGGAGGGGCCAACCCATGTGTCGAATGCTCGTGAATGGGGCTACTACGAGGATCCCGAGGCAATTGAACAGCTTGTGGAGTGGCTGGACTCGCGCGGCAACCGGGAGTCCAAGTTGCTTAAGGAGCTGCTTCTCCAGCAAGAGTACATTGCCAAGTATATGAAGAATCGCAAGGCGTACCTAGCCGAGACGCCTGATAGAGCCGAGTCGGAGGACATCCCAGCCAAACGTGTGACCACCCGGACCAAGACTTATCTGGATGTGAACGAGAGTGGTCCCCGCTGCCTGCGCTGGAAAAACACGACCGCGTTGTCTGAGCATGGACATCTTCATGTTGACCCTGGCCGGCCAGCCAAGCGCAAGCGAGTTTCGGATGACACCAGAGTGACCAAGGCAGCCAAACAGGCTAAGCAGGCTAAGCCTTTGACCCGAACACGCGCTCAGCGCAAGGGTTGATGCTTCCAGAAGGCGTTAATCCTACAATATCACGCGACCACGATATTCTTTGTACTTCGTATACATTTCGAGCTGCATGGAGGCGGGGAGTTCATTTCTTTTCACTGGCATATTTTTTTGGGAAGAAGTTAAATAGCTTAGAAGCAATGCAACAACATAGAACAAGTCTCTTAGAACAACATAAATTCAGACTACAAAGTAGGGTAGGCTACGATGAAGGGCCACCGAATGCTTATCGGCAATAAGTCCCGATTAGGTCTAGCGTTGGAAGTAGTACGATGACAAACCGGCTTCTCGGGACTCGCTGATTTTGCGGGCCGTATTAGTACCGTAATCCGCCGGTTATTCGCGGAGAGCCATTGGTATCGGCATGTCAGAAGATTTGTAACGACAATCGTCCGAACTTCCAGATGTCGCAAATACGTCAGTGGAAACATACACAGGACGTTATTCTTCTTTCACTTTTCGCCATTGCACTGTCATATTATTCTTTCAAACACCCTTCAAGATCGCTGTGCTGTCAATACAACTATTAGATATCTGCATGCACAGTTGAAGCGTCCCGAAGATCGTCCGGTACCCCGAGAACTCTAGCTGAATATCGCCGAAACTGATCACGAGGGCGACTCCCCCGGACATTCTCACCCCTCCTGCGAGCCTCGGTTGCTCTCTCGCAATACCGTCTTTCTTTTCCTCTTCCTATTCCATGTCGACTGGTCATGCCTATGACCCCAACAAACCCCCAGAGTTTACTCCACAACCCGCTCCGATGAGCGAGACCGCACAGCCGGGATCGTCGCCTGTCGGCGCCGCTACGAAACCAATTGTGTCAAATCATACCGCCGTCATGGACAAAACACAGAGCGGCGATATCAACATCAAAAAGCGTAGTTGGGATTATGTGATGAGGAGTGGAATTGCAGGAGGACTGGCGGGGTGTGCGGTAAGTCTCCATGGGTTACAGATCCTTGCGAGATTCATACTGATTAATGCGCCGGACATCATAGGCCAAGACCGTGGTAGCACCCCTCGACCGCGTGAAGATCCTCTTCCAGGCTTCAAATCCTCAATTCGCTAAATATACGGGCAGCTGGACTGGCCTGGCAGCAGCGATTCGAGATATCAAGCGCACTGAAGGGTTCCAGGGCCTGTACAAAGGCCACTCCGTGACCCTCCTTCGAATTTTCCCATACGCCGCCATAAAGTTCCTTGCATACGAGCAGATCCGCGCAGTTATCATTCCTTCCAGCGAATACGAGACCCCGTTCCGCCGCCTAGTCTCCGGCAGTTTAGCCGGTGTTACCTCTGTGTGTTTCACATACCCATTGGAGCTGATGCGCGTGCGCATGGCGTTTGAAACCCGACAATCGCACCGCTCAGGCTTGGTGGACATCTGGCGGCAAATCTACCACGAACGTGTCCAACCCCCATCAACCAATTCTGCTGCGGCAGCCGAGTCTTCTTCCGTTGCTATTGCCGAAAGCGCTTCATCTGCCGTTTCAAAAGTTGTCCCGCGCACTGGAATTACCAATTTCTACCGCGGTTTTTCCCCGACTATCCTCGGCATGCTCCCGTACGCCGGGATGTCTTTCCTCACCCACGACACAGTGGGAGACTTGTTCCGTCACCCAAGTGTGGCGCGTTACACCCTCAGACGAGCAACACAGCCAAAAAACCCCGCGGATCGACCTAAACGACCGCAGCTCAATACCACGTCCGAGCTTCTGTCCGGTGCTGTGGCCGGTCTAGTTTCGCAGACTTCGTCATACCCAGTTGAGGTCGTCCGTCGGCGGATGCAGGTCGGTGGTGCAGTCGGTGACGGACGCCGACTCGGAATCGCTGAAACGGCCCGCACAATCTGGCTTGAGAGAGGGTTTAGAGGCTTCTGGGTTGGACTGACTATTGGATACGCCAAGGTCGTTCCTATGGTTGCAGTGAGCTTCTACGTTTATGAGCGAGCCAAGGGATCGCTGGGCATCAGTTAGACTTGTGACATATTCATTTCTTTTCTTGCATATACCATGAGGACTCTTGATACTGGTTCTCTGTGGCGTTCGTGGATACCTTGGGACGGTTGTTTTTAGCATATAGAGCCCGAATGGCTCAGAGATATACTAGTACAAAATTTCAAAGATTTTCTTTCATATTTCATCTGTCATTGAAATTCATTGTAAATCATTGTAAGCTGGACTGTCTCATAAATAACTCTCGACTTTGATATGTGGCTGATGTGTGGCGGATTCGTAGATCTAATTGGAACGGCTTGACTCCGAGGGCACAGACCACCCGCATAAAAAAAGTTGCAGACCTCCGCCACCCACGACCAAGTCGATCAAACGTCCTCGGATTCCACAAAATGACGACTCGCAAACACAACGATTTCCTAGACATCGCAGCCAGCGACGATGAGGCCAGTGGCAGCGATCGCGGCTACGACTCCGAAGCCAATGCCGCGGAGAGCAAAGGACGGGCAGTGAAGAGGCGACGGACGACAGCCACGCAAGACTTCTCGCAGGACTCTGACGAAGATGAGGATGAGGAGGACAAACCCCTCGAAAAAGAAGACGAAGATAACGAGGACGAAGACGGCGGCGCAAGTCTGGAAGACTCAACAAAACCCAGCACTAAATCAGCGAAGTCGCTCAAAGCAAAGGGCAAGCTTGCTAAGTTATCTAAACTGGCCAACGGCAAAGCACCCAAGAAAACCCGTTCAGGTGTCATATACTTTTCCTCTCTCCCGCCATACCTCAAACCCTTCGCCTTAAAAGCAATGCTAGAGAAGAGAGGGTTTGGAGGTATCACGAAGGTCTTCCTAGCACCTCTTCTCCCCTCCGCAGCCGGTAATCGCAGCCGCTCGAATAAGAGAAAGCTCTACACGGAAGGGTGGATTGAGTTCGAATCCAAAAAGACAGCGAAGATCTGCGCAGAGACCTTGAATGCGACTATTGTTGGTGGATTGAAGTCGAGCTGTGAGTCTACCGGCCTTTTCGCCATTACATACATCCCTACTATTTTGCGATGAATATATACTGACTAGTGTTACGATATATAGGGTATCACGATGACGTGTGGAACATCAAATATCTCTCACGGTACTCTTGGGAGGATCTTATGCAATCTGTACAACGGGAGAGATCCGAGAGGGAAAGCAAGAGGAAGATTGCGGATGCTCGTGAAGCCAAGGAAGCCAAGATGTTCATTGCGGGTGTTGAGAGTGGTCGCATTGCTGATGGTATGGCGAAGAAGAATGAGGAGAAGATGAAGAGGCGGTTGGAGGCGGCTGGTGATGGGGATAAGGAACTGCCGCAGCCTAAGGAGGCGAAGCCTACGAGAAGGCGGTTCCATTTCCAGCAGAATGAGGTTGTTAAGGGGTCGAAGGATGGTGCTATGGCTGATGATGCCAAGCGGGTACTTGGGAAGATCTTCTGAGTTAGGATTTTACGGGGAATGTTTCTTCTTATTCTTATTCATTAAGGCTTTTATGGCCTCTGGTCTGTTTACTTGATCTACTGCAGCCCGACTTTCTAATATTAGATCACCGAGATGTAAAATCCTGAGGTTGAGAGAGTACATCTGGTTAAACTTCGGTATCCTCTTTCTTTTTTGACTCTATTTGATACTATAATGCACAGTACTGTGCAAATCTACTCTAATGGTGATCTAAATACACAATCACCGCTTCAATATGCTGAACGGAGGCACTCACTTTGCTCTGCTTCAAGCCCAACTTCTCTCTATCAAAGCTCATACATCGAGTATTGCGATCATCATTTTCATACTATTTAAAATTTGGTCTTAACAAAAACATGGCCTCAAAATTCTGACGCTGAGGACTTTTGGAAGTCTGCTTCTCGACACATTCGATTCTATGTTGACAAACAATCTTGTGGTTCTTACCAAGCCCACCAATATATAACCCTAGAAACTTACAGTCAACTACATCTGCAAAACTTCTCAACTCGCCTTTACAACCATAACTAACTTTGTGCTCTGACTTTAATTCATTCTCATCTAAAACAATTGATACATTCAGTCCTAGAATAAGGTCTAGAATAAGAATATGGCATCTGCATGCTGTATATTGTACGTATCAATTCGAAATCATGAACTTTTTGATTGAAAACCCAGAAACATAAACGCCAACCGGTGCCATGATCATCAATGATAACATCCAGACTCTGACTGACTTCTCCTAATTGTCCTCCATGTTCAACTCATCAAAGTCATCAAGCAGCTCATCCATGTTGATTTTCGGCACAGCGTGTTCATCCTCGTCCATGTCATCATCGCCATCCTCATCTATCTGGTCGGCCCTGACCTGGTATTGACGGTTCTTGTACAGATCGAGTGTTTGACGCAGTTCCTGATCCTCCTCCACGTCACGTAAGAACATTTCGTAATCATGTTCCATCCTAGCCTGCTCCTGCTCCTGGCGCTTGTTTGTGGGGACATTGACTGTAGCAGCAGTGGCCTCCTCTTCATGCTCGCGAGCCATACGCTTCAAACGCCAGCTGCGGGCCTTGGACTTCTTGCTGCGGACGTAGTGCTTCTTGATAAGGACCACATCCGGAACCGTTGAGCTGTACTGGTGGCTATTCTCAATTGCCTCGAGTTGATCGTTGTTGAACTGGGTTCCCGACAAGTGGTATCCGAGAACAGAATCACCCACGTGTAGAACACCACCGAGATGAGTCCGTGTGAAATAGGTGGTATCGTTAGATCCTAGATCTGAAGCACGAGCAACTGTGGCCTCAGAAAGGAGGTACCGACCATTAGAGTGGCCGGTAGATTCAATATCCAAGACAATGAATTCCCTAAGCTCGGTGGTATCTGCAAGGTTCGGGAATGGCTGGCGCCAGTAAGTGCTAGCAGGAAGGTCGGTTGTTCGTAGGGTGCAAGGGTCCATAAGATTGATAGACGTGCCTACCCGATAACAGATAGCGAGCGGACTTATATCAGACAATGAGCGGGCCAGCTTAATCGGCAGAGCAACGAGATCATCCTTGCAGATAGGGATAATTTCGCACGAATACGAGAACTTATACGAAGAAGTCGACGTATGAATATCCATTGAAATTAGTTCATGGCTCTTCTTGGAACGCATGGGAACCACGGCTGGTAGTTGTCAGTAAACTTGCATATATTAGGAAAAGGGGAAAATACTGACATTCTAAGAATGAAAGCATACGCTCGGCTTCATTTCTCTTTGCGAAGAAGAAATCAAGACCTTCGTTCGATTCCTTGATGTTGACAGTATCCTTGTGGGCATTATGCTTGAGGATAAGCTGTTCCAGGTACATAAATGTCCGCTTGTGAGGGACCTTCTGTCTGATTTGGATAGATGCTTGCCAGCTATGATGCGTATAAGATTTGGCGCAGCTGTAGGAGTGTTAGTTTAATAGCATTTTTGGGAGTATTTGTGATGTTGGTGTTGTGGTGTATGTTGTTTGGGGGGGGGGACATGAGCATACCCAGAACACTGCTGATTGGCAACAACAAATTCAACCTCAAATTGCTGTTGCACGATAGTGCCTTGGAAGGCCTCCGCTAATGGGGTGTTAGCTTTGATCTCAGGGCTAAATGTGCTAACGCGGAATTGGTGGATGCTTGCGCAGGTGGGTAGAACTAACTTTGTATGGTGATCTTCAGCCTCAATCTCTTCGAATGAGGTTCGGTCCAAATGAAGCTGGCGTCAATGATTCGGACTTTGTTCAGACCACGGAGCTTGCGTAGGCAAATGGCGAGTAGTTCCTTCGACTCGAGAGCTGCGACAACCCAGCTGTTGGGGGGCTGTAGCCACCGTTCGCAATCCCTACAGCAGTGAATCACCGCCTCTCGTTGCACCTATAAATCAAAGAGAGTTAATGTCAGCTGGGACAAATCATAGGAGTGTAGGAAGGCTTCTTCTAAGCCCAAAAATGGAGTTATACATACACCTCCGGCAACATCGACAGTAAGACGAATACAATCCGAACATAGGGCTCCGGCTGAGAGTGTTCCATCAATAGCAGCGCCACAGTTGCAGCAAAGAATTCTGATAAAGTAAAGTAGTTAGTACCTAGAGTTGCAGTATAACGAGTTTGGAGGATTGGCCCAGCGGGGTTGGAACATGTAGGGAAGAAAGTTGCGATAAGAACTCACGTGGCTGCGACTTTCTCCTGCTGCGTGAAATAGACGGGGGCATCCAAATCCATCGACATATTGATGAGTAGAATCGGATATCAAACCCAAGACTGAGAAAATCACCAGGGTATTGAGGATTCAAAGAGTTTACAGCGCCGTGGATTTGTGATATTTGCCCCCCACCTGGATGGATCTTTTTTTCTGATGACTCAGCTGTTTGTCGTGTTTGCATTCGTTATCTTGATATCACCGAGCAAACCAACCTTGGGAACCGAACTGTTGGAAGAACTCAAGATCCTCATTTCTTTTTCCAATATAGCCATCACCATGAGCAGGGCTCTTTTGCAAGGGGCTGCGTGCCAGACTTGTCGGCATGAGGTGCTACGGTCCTTTGTTTCTGTCTCCGGCATTCCAATGCCACGATCCTCTCCTCTTTCCTCCCGTTCGATCTCCAACGCTAGAGCTTTCTCCGCTGTAACTTTGCTGCGGTCTGATCGCCCTCCAAGTTTGAACCAGCTTAACATTCATCTGTCTGAACCAGAAGAGCCATCACCGCACTCGGACACCAATACGCCCACCCCATCACAGCATGTCCCCTGGTATCTGCAGGAAGAGGCGCCGATCATTAAGGAGCGCCCGTTGACCGAAGCCCATCTTCCCCAGATCCCAGACGATTCACCAGAGATGCTCTCGACTCTATTGGAGTATACATATAAGGACTTGGGCTTGGATGGTCTCAAGCTTTTTGACCTACGCGGCCTCGAAATCCCTGCAGCTCTCGGTGCTAATGTCATCATGGTCATCGGAACCGCTCGCAGTGTGAAGCATTTGAACGTATCTGCAGATCGTCTCTGTCGCTGGTTGAGAAGTCAATATAAATTGTCTCCCTACGCTGACGGCTTACTTGGACGCAACGAGTTGAAAATCAAACTCCGCCGCAAGGCCAAGCGAGCGCGCGCCGCTAGTGCAGCAGGTTCAATGGTCGACGAAAAGGATGATGGAATCACTACAGGATGGATTTGTGTAAATGCGGGTACGGTGGATAAAGGCGCTACTACGACCCAGTTGAGCGATGTTGGAATTGAAGGATTTGGTAATCTTGACCTTGGGACTAGTGTGGTTGTACAGATCTTCACCGAGGAGAAGCGGGCTGATGTTGACCTTGATGGCCTCTGGGAGGCTACTTTAGCCCGCGAGGGGCGCAAGAATACCCGGGAGAGCACAGGGGATATATCCAAGACCGGTGCTGCGCCCCCCAGGTCTATGTCCGATGGATTTGGTTCCATTCCTGGCCAAAGGAGAGGCTTTCATACCGTGCACAGACTCGCACTATCTGCTATGAACTCCACTGAGTCTGGTTTAGAAGCTGGTTTCTCTGGCATGGGGACTTCGTCCTCCACACTTCCAGGCGGCGCAGCAGCAGTTGCATCCCAATTGACACCGACGTCTTTGCTCCAGATTCTCGCTGAACTTCCTGCTGATAGTGCACGAAATGAGCTTGGAAGCGGCCCGAATGATCGCCAGTCCACTCTTTTTCTACGGCTCTTCTATACCAACCACGCTGCGCGGTTTTCTGCGCAGGAAAAAGCCACCTTTCGATTGAAATTGTTTTCTATTGCTGTATCTCGGCGACACCTAGCTTACACTAAGGAGGCACTTTTCAGCACATTCTCTGATTTTCTACGCGACGGGTATGACCTTCCGGATGACCTTGGATTCGATGTTGTTTCTGCGCTTCTAACGCCGAGAACAGCGGGTGTTATCACCGAACAGTCTGAGACTCATTCACCAGACACTGGCATGGAGCTTGCTTTGTTAGTGCTGGATCGCTTGAGCCTCCGTGGTGTGCCGATTTTGAACATGAAGATTTTCAATATACTCTATCAAGCAGTCTGTGCACCCAATCCAGCACTTTCGAGCCTGAATGAATTGCACCCTGAAGAGAGTTCCTCAAGTTCTTCTGTGGTTCAACGGACCGAGTCTCGGAAACAAATCTTGTCTCGGCTGTCGAAGATACTCGCGGCTGCCAACGTTCCTTTTGACGCAGGAGATGCGCGTCAGCTTATGGTGACATTATTTCAATGCGGGGATTATGACGGTTTCTGGCGCTTGTGGCGCCAATTTCCCTTGAAAGGTGCTAGCCGCACACAAGAGGATTACGTGCAGCTATTCAAGTTGCATGCCGAGTTGGGCGAGGAAGTGCGAGCGCGCGAGTGTCTGTCGACGGGGGTAGCATTGATGAATCGAGAGTCCCCTGCCATTGTGCTACAGGGTCCGATCGTGACAGCCATCATGCATTGTATTTTGGTGGCAGACCCGACACTTCAGAACCGAGATGAAGGAGCGTCTCCGAGCTTCTACATGCCACTCTGGACTGAGTGCCAGGAGGCACTTGCTCGGGAAAATTGAATGACGAGGGATCAATCTGTAAAATCATCTAGCATATATTATCCAGTGTACAATATTACATCCGTATCTAATGTGAAATATCGAAGTTGTAATTAAATATCCGCCGAACGTAGGGCATGGATGGATCTCCTGCCTGGAGCGACGTAGTCAGCTCGGATAAGTTGAGCCTCGGCATATGATCACTGGTTCCGGCGGCTCTTCCTCTTCATCTCTCTTCGAACACCTTAAAGCACCACCCTGATAAGGATGACTGGCACTTCTGACGATGGAGTACCTTCCTAGTCTTCAACAGGAGTTCGATGAGCACAAGCCATCGCTCTTTGGTAAGTCGATTGATGCTTCCCCGCGTAGATGGAGACCCCAGACACGGGGAACCCCCCATACATGACTGGAATCGCTAACGCGGAGATCGTGCTCGACAACAGAACTCCTAGCTGAGCAACAGCTCTCGGACCTTCTTCCTCCATCTTTGCGTTATCTTCTCGCAGTCGCAACGCACCGCCACCCGCGCTATCTCCTCCGGATCCTCAACTCATACGACGAAGTCTACGCCCTCCTTTCATTAATAGTCGAACGTTACTACCTGCGAACATTCGGCGGCTCCTTCACAGAAAACTTCTATTCCCTGAAACGTGAGCGCGTTCTCCGCACCAAGAATGGCGAGATCCCGCGCTCCCAGGTCGGCGCCGCAGGCCCCGTGCGCGACGCCCTGAAGCTACACTCGACGGACATCTGGAAGAATTTGTTCGTCATGGTTGGCATCCCTTACCTAAAACGTAAGTTAGATGAAGGATATGACATTCATGCTGCGCCACATGCATCTCTGGTCACCAGCGGCGGTCCACGATATAACCCCAGCGACGACCTGCCGGCCAATCCGTCGCTGCGCCAGCGCATCTTCTTCTACTACAAGTGGTTCCTACGCAATGTCTACCCATCCGTGAATGCGGCATACTATTTCTCCGTTCTGGCATTTAACCTCGCCTACCTCTTCGACAACACAAAGTACTCCTCCCCGTTCCTGTGGCTTATCGGCACGCGCATCCGCCGCCTTGGCAGCGCAGACCACCGCGCCATCGCCGCAGTGCTAGATCCCAAGCCCGGGCCCAGCACCGGGCGATCTCAGCGACCCGGCGGTGGCCTTCTTGGTCTCCTTAGTCCGCAGAATCTTCATACTCAGCTCCTGACCTCGTTGCGCTACTTCCTTCCTGCGTCGATCTTCGCCCTCAAGTTCTTAGAATGGTGGCATGCGAGTGACTTCTCTCGCCAGCTCGCCCGTAAAGCAACTGAGGTCCTAGATCTACCCGCCCCTGTTGTGGCAGGCTTAACTTCTCCCGCGGAACGACGGAAATCGGCACTCCAAGACGAGAAAGAAAAGGCCAAGAAGCAGGCCGAGCAGGAGAAAAAGAGCGCTGCCGGTGATCTTAAGCCAGCACTCAAGCCTCCTCGTCGCCACCAACCCCCAATCTCCGCGACTTCTTACCTACCCATCTATACTGTATCCTTGCCTCCGGCTGATCCCTCGAGCGCCAACACCTGCCCTGTCTGCATGGGTGCGCTCGTTAACCCGACTGCTTGCCAGACGGGGTACGTGTTTTGTTATGTGTGCATCTTCCACTGGCTGAACGGTGAGCACCAGCGCCAACTGGATTTCATGACCGGTGAGGGTGCTGGCGCGCCTTGGGAAGAGGAGATCATAGGCGATGACGAAGAGACGAAGAAAGGTCCTAGTGGAGATGAAGCTGAATCAGGACCCCGCAAACGATCTGGTAAATGGGAGAGTGGCAAGGGGAGATGTCCTGTCACAGGAAGGAGAGTGCTTGGAGGCACCGAGGGATTGAGGAGGGTATTGGTTTGATCTGGGGTTGCGTAGTCCCAATTTTCGATATATTAATCGTTAAGCGCACATTGTATAGCAGATTGCTTTGGATTGGAGCCTGGGGGTACATTATTGCTCGAAACTGTATATACGATACATATCCTATCTCTCGTCCTCTTACTCTACGTACTCGATTTCTGCTAGGTGCCTTACTCTACCGTCTTCATCAAGGTCTCATGTCTAATTCTTGATAGATACATTATTCTTAGAATTAAATGATATATTTCGTAGTCCTAACCATGCTATATAGTTATATCTTAACTTTCACAGCCAGTTAAGCCCAATATTTCGTGCCCTTCAGAGATTTCTTCTTTACCAAACCAAGAATCCTCATCTCAGCAGCGCTAGAGAGTGTTTTTAGTCGAAATGTATCCTGGCAGATTGGCCCTCTCACCTTTGGTAGCGCGTCGAGTCTTTATTCCGCGACCTCGTGTAAATAACTTCCAGGTGCCACCGAGATGTAGCGAATTGCGCCCAGAGAAGTACCAGACTTAGTTAGCAGAGACACTGATATAACCTAACCTCTTGCATGTCATCCTTGTCCGCTGAGGATAGATGGGCGTTGGCACCCCTAGACGAGAATATTAGGATAGAAGTATTTGCGGTTCATGGTGGAAATTAGGGACTCTCAAGTAACTAGCTTGGAACTGAGGGTTACAACCCGTTAATTGGGGATATAGTCTTAGGAATGTAGACCATTTATTTATGCAGTAGTAGGAAAGGATTATCATGTTTAAATTTCACAAGGATAATCTGAATAGCGTCAAAGTCAGTATATCCATAATCCGACGCCACTCTGAGCAATGGAGTTCGAATGGCTCTTTGAGTTGGATCCATGAAAACCTGGTTAGTTCACAGATGTGTGGATGAAGATGCCTTAAGGTAAATACCCATGGACATATATACGTATGTAGCCTTAGAGTAAGGACGTAATTACCTAACCTAACTTTTTCCAAATCTGGAAGGTTGGAGTAACCTCTAGATGGCATACTCAGTGAGCAGGTGTGGTAGAGTTAGTTTCCCTACTGAGCCTCCTACTAAATTTTGTGAATAGGGATACTTTAGTCCTGTCTTCTAAAATGAGTCTGGCAACTGGAAGGAAGTAGTCTTGATTTCGGATATGATTCGAGAGAGTCTGACCAACAAATTAGATCGGCTAAATGAAAAGTATGGAGACCGAACTAGGAATAAATGTCCATGACTGCGTAAATTCTGGACTTCATAACATCGCATCAAATTGGTTGTTTGGATAACGTGGATATGTAGTTAGAGTAGCTGTATTTTATACTAATAGTGCCAGACCAGTCCTAGCATTACCTTGGAGACGTCTCCTCATTATCAGATATCTCCTCCTCTATGTCAGACGCCTCATCATCCATCTTCTCCTAATCTTCCTCACCCTTCTCGTCTTCCTCGTCTTCCTCAGTCTGCTTGCGTTCCTCACCCTCCTTGCATTGCTCATGGTCTAAGTCACACATCTCCTCGTAGAACAGCCTGTTACACCTCTCTTTCTCATCATCACACTCATTGATATTGAATTCCTAGGTCGGGAATCCATATCCTCTGGCAAAATTGTCTAAATTATGAATCAATCTTGCCAGGGACTGGCTGATCCAATGCTCGAAAGAAGTATATTTCGATGAATTTGATAGTCAGGAGAGAGGTAAAGGGATCATACAAATGTACCACGTAGGCAGACCATATAAAATGTACAAGTTTGTTTTAGACCTGAAACTGATATTCTAAAGTAAGGATTATCAAGAGTTATCGAGTAATGAGACTATAAACCCCGAATCGATCTACAGTTGTAGCCCTAAAAGGCCTTGATGACAAATTGGCCGCTATTTACCACGACGTCATGTGTGGGGACCTCCCTCTTTGAACTCCAAAACATCGCCTTCGACCTAAAATCATCTGAATATGCAGCCTTTGCAGCTGCATTTTGAGTCGATTTGAACCTCTTCAGCTATGGAGAGCTTTGATGATGTTTCTCTCATCGGACTAGTGTCCCAGGACACACCTTTCCACGATGACCATCTCTCGATTCCATGCGCTTCAGACCCGAATTTGGCGAAAGAAACCACAGGGGGACCAACTTCGACCCAGACGACAAGTATCAGATCGTCTTCGCAGATAGATCGCGCCGAAGATGCTGGAATAATCGATGACGCCTCCGTCGTGTCGGATTTCCCGTTGTCGTACAACCCGCCGCCTGGAGCTCGGATTGAGGAGGAAGAGGAAGGGGATGGGGAAGATGAGGAGCCACAGGTGGCAACTTCCTTTGAGCGAGAGGCTTCGCCGACTTTTGCACAGAAGCACCGATTAGTTTTAGACTCAGAGGACGAAGGAATCAACCGTATGCACAAATTTACGCTATACGAAACCGCAACTCGATTCTATATGGTCGGAATCAATCTGGCAGAGACTCGTTTTCGGATTCTAAAAATTGATCGGACCTCGGATTCCGGTGAGTTAAGTATTACCGAGGATGACATGGTGTACAACAAAAGAGAGATGGTTCAGTTGCTGGATGCAATCGACGACGGCAACAAGAGTTCTGGCGGGTTGAACCAGAAGTGCAGTGCATGGGCATTGCTTGGATTCATCAGATTCACGGGCGGATACTATATGCTACTCGTTACCAAGAGGAGCCAGGTTGCCATGCTTGGTGGTCACAATGTCTATCAGATCGACGAAACCGAACTGATCCCGTTAACCACCTCGGAATCTTCACATATTAAGGCCGAAAAGCAGTCAGAGGAGGCACGCTATATTGCGATCTTGAATAATCTGGACTTGTCGCGCTCTTTCTATTTCAGCTATTCCTACGACATCACTCGCACACTCCAGCATAATATCTGCCGGGATCGCGAGGCCCACCGGGATGGCCATCCACAACCGTCTTCACATGATTACCATTCCATGTTCATTTGGAACCACCATCTCCTGTCCCCGGCTGCTGAGGCCCTTAAGAATCCCTATGAGTGGTGTCTACCTATCATTCATGGATATGTGGATCAGTCAAAGATGAGTGTCTATGGGCGAGTGGTCTATATCACAATCATCGCACGTCGATCCCGATTCTTTGCTGGGGCCCGCTTTCTCAAACGAGGCGCAAACGACCTCGGATACGTGGCCAACGATGTGGAGACTGAACAGATTGTATGTGAACAGACAACAACATCATTCCATTCTGCTGGCCCAAGACTTCATGCAAACCCTCACTATACTTCATATGTTCAACACCGCGGAAGCATTCCTCTTCATTGGACTCAAGAAAACACGGGAGTATCACCAAAACCGGATATTGAGCTTAATCTCGTGGATCCATTTTACTCGGCTGCGGCGTTGCATTTCGACGATCTATTTCGAAGATATGGCGCTCCAGTCTATGTTCTGAACCTGGTCAAATCTCGCGAACGAACTCCGAGAGAGTCAATACTGCTCAAAGAGTTCACAAACGCCGTGACTTATTTGAACCAGTTTCTTCCCGAGGACAAAAAGCTCATTTACGAGGCGTGGGATATGAGTCGTGCTGCAAAAAGCCGGGATCAGGATGTCATCCAGACGTTAGAAGATATTGCAGGCGATATCATTCCCAAAATTGGCTTTTTCAAGAATGGGGATGACGCAGAGTCCGGCTTGCAGCTTCAGAACGGTGTCGCAAGAACCAACTGCATTGATTGCCTTGACCGAACAAATGCTGCACAGTTTGTCATTGGCAAGAGGGCACTTGGTTATCAGCTCCATGCTCTTGGTGTAATAGATGACACAACTGTAGAGTATGATACTGACGCTGTCAATCTCTTCACGAACATGTGGCATGATCATGGAGACACTATCGCTATTCAGTACGGCGGATCGCATTTGGTGAACACCATGGCTACCTACCGCAAGATCAATCAATGGAGCAGCCACTCTCGTGATATGGTGGAAAGCTTCAAGCGGTATTACAACAACTCTTTCCTTGATGCTCAACGCCAAGAGGCATATAATCTCTTCCTTGGAAACTACACCTTCGCGCAGGGCATTCCGATGCTTTGGGATCTTCCTACGGATTACTACCTCCACCACACCGATCCCAAATCCCACTTTGGCAGAAAGAAACCCAGCTACATCTCCTGGTATACACCAGAATATCTAAAGGCTAGGGAATTCCCACCCCTCCCATTCCATCCCAAAGAACCCCTCTCACATTTCGATGACTTCTGGCTGGAATACTACCGACCACTTGCTCTGTCTTCCCTCTCCAAAGTTTTCTCTCTGAAAATGAACTCCACGTCCCGCTACCTACCCCCTGTCCGCCCAGGACACCCCGTTCCAGATCTCAGTCCCTTTGTGCCCCGCATCCCCCCAGAGCAAATCCAACGCGAACGCCTACCACAGCGCAGCGTCAAGATCCAAGAGCCATCCATCAGCCGCAGTCGCGCTTCATCAAGTACGATGCCGATACCCGAATCCACCCAGACATGGGCCCATCAGCCACCCTCATCTGAGAAACATGCACCTCTTACGGGCATTATCAAAGAGCCCGCTTTCAAAATCCCTCATGTATCCCGCATCCCACCAATCGACCCCCCTAACGCTTCCACTCCCAGCAAAGCGGAGATCGCCCAGTGGACCCTCGGCCAGCTAGTCAGCGACTCGTTGAGCCCCTCTGTAACCGGTGCCGAGGCAGAAGAATACGAGCGGTACATCAACCACCCCCTCAAGGTCCCGCTTGTCGTCACATCTGAAGATGAAATGACAGCTTCGTCGCTGCAAGACCATGGATACAATCTCGATCTCCTGGAGTACGCGAATAAGTGCAATGTCGAGGAATCTGCGCTCGAGTCGAGGGCTGGGATAAACATGCTTGCTTATGCTGAGTTTCTGGATGTCTCCGAGGACGGTCTTACCGTCGTGGGTGAGGACTATGAGAAGAAGAGATATAAACGGTATCGCCAGTGGTTGCGGGGGAAGAGTCTGTTCAAGCAGCGAGTTGATCCATGATGCTACGAACTTGAGTACCTGTTTTTTCTTGTGTTATTGCGCTCAGCACAGCATATTGATACCCTCATTGCATGTTATATTACTTTATCGAGTGTTCTATGGATTATGCCTGTTTACTACCAACCAGATCTCAAGTGCAGGTTTTGCTTTGAATCCAACAGATATCTCAAATTGAGAATTTCATAAGTGTTGTTATGACCCTTTTCCTAAATAACCTCCCACACATACATTGCCAGTAACGCTTAAACAAAAAGACCCTTAAGCTCTGCATCAGCATCAACAAGCTCCTGGAACTCCTTCTCCACATTCTCCTTCACCTGCATCTGTTCCGGCTCTGGCCCATCAGCCGCAATAGCAACAGGATTCAACAAAACAAGTTTCAAAACCTGAAGCGTCTGCTGCAACTCGCCCTTCAGTTTAGCTAGTTCAGCCACGGAGCCTCCGCTATCCTCGGCAATATGAAGCCAACACGAACTTAGCCCACTCAGGATCTCCCCGCGCCAGCACCAGATACGCGGGTGTGCGTTCTTGATCACCGCCTGCGTAGCTGAAGTTGCAGCTAGCAGTAGTGGAGGGTGTACTGTTCCGAATGGGTTTGATAGGGTTGTGTAGAGGACTGGGATGAGTTCTTGGAGGTACTTTGTAGTATGAATTCCCAGCTCGTTGGTGATGATTGTTATCTTTTCTAGGAGGAATGTTGAAAGACGGGGGTGTGGAAAGGATGCGGTTGAGCCGGAGGCTGGAGTGCTGGAGCTGACGTGGTGGAATGAGGAGATGAGGTTTGATCGGAGGATTTTGGCGAGGCTGGTAGTGTATGCTTCTTTATCCTTTTCGGATTGGGCGGGGCCATTGTAGGCGGTTTTGAGGGTGGAAAGGAGGGCTGGGTATGCTGCTCCTAGTAGGTCTAGGGATCTATCCTCGGGTGTGATGGATGGTAGGGATAGAAGACACGGCGTGACGGCGTCTTCGAAGACGGAGGTGAGGTTTGTTCGTCGGAGGATGTCCGAGCCGCTTTCTTGGATCGGTTGCAGTAGCTGAGTGAGTAGGGCACAACCTTTTGTTTTGAATGGGAGGTTGTTGTCGTCGACCATTGCTAGGATAGTGGGCACGAAAAGCTGGAAGTGCGTTTCGAATTGTGTCTTGTCTTCGGGTTGATATTGTGAGAGGATCCATGACAGCACAGCTCCGATGTAAACATCGGTTGTCTTCCATGGCTTGGCCGATGCGTCTAGATCGCTTGCACCGAAGCGAGGTAGAGTTTGAGGATGGAAATTTTTGCGGCCGGCGCTGGTGATGGCGGGATTCTTTGTCTTTGCAAAGAGAGGTCTAATTCTCTCCCTAAGGATGAAGTCGATAGCAGGCCAGAATTTATTGCCGCGGCGAGTGTCCTGAACCCACACGTTCATGAGCATCGACGCCGCATTGTAGCTGTCAGATGTAGTCCATGGGTCTTGCTTGTTAGAAAAACATGCCCCAGCAAGAAGAATGTCTGCTGCATTTTCTGGTTTGCCATTTGGCAGACCTGCTAGGGGCTTGTTTAAAACTACAACCAGCTCCAGTGCGAGCTCAGATCTAAACCGACTCTCGTTCTGGGCTTTGATAATATCTGTGCGGCAGAATTAGTCAAAGCTTCATAATGTTTATAAAAGCACTTACCGTCTGAAATCTCGGCAGTCTCATCAAAATCGACTGCAAAATCCGATGAAGGCA